CTGTGAACAGCACGTGCGAGAAGAGCAGGCGTCGGCAGACTGCCGTCGGCAGCGCTGGAGCCTTTGATGCGTCGGCAGACTGCCGACGGCAGTGGCGGCAGGTTGCGGCGCTGCTGAGCGAGGCGGCAGTCGCGAAGCCGGAGCCCGACATCAGCCGCTACAGCACTGTGACCAGTGCCTGCGAGAAGGGGCAGTGGCAGACAGCTGTGGCTCGGCTCAGCGAGAAGTTGGGAGTGAAGCTGGAGCCCAACATCATCACCTACGGCACTGCGAACAGCGCCTGCGAGAAAAGGTGGCCTTGGCAGCGGCAGCAGGCTGCGACGCTGCTGAGCGAGATGCTCGTGTAGAAGCTGGAGCCCGCCATGATCAACCACGCGTGCGAGAAGGGCCGGCAGTGGCAGCTGGCCATGGCGATGCTCAGCGCGATGTTGGTGGCGACGTTCGAGGTCAGGCTCACGTCCGAGAAGGGCTGTTTGCGGCAGCCTTCCCTGGCGCTGCTCAGCGAGATGGTGGTGACGCTGGGGCCCAACCTCATCAGCACCTACGGCACTGTGAACAGCGCGTGCGAGAGGAGGAGGCGTTGGCAATGGCAGCCAGCAGTGGCGCTGCTGAGCGTAATCGCGGTCGTGAAGCTGGAGCCCAACGTCATCACCTACGGCGCTGCGAACAGCGCCTGCGGGAAGAGGTGGCCTCGGCAGTGGCAGCAGGCTGCGACGCTGCTGAGCGAGATGCTCGCGTAGAAGCTGGAGCCCGCCATGATCGACCGCGCGCGCGAGCAGGGCCGGCGGTGGCTGCCCGCCATGGCGACGCTCAGCGCGACGTTGGTGGCGACGTTGAAGGTCAGGCTCACGTCCGAGAAGGGCCATCCGTGGCGGCCTTCCCTGGCGCTGCTCAGCGAGAGGGTGGTGACGCTGGAGCCCGACATCATCATCACCCACGGCACTGTGAACAGCGCCTGCGAGAAGAGGTGGCCTCGGCAGTGGCAGCAGGCTGCGACGCTGTTGAGCGAGATGCTCGCGTAGAAGCTGGAGCCCGCCAGCGTGATGTTGGTGGCGGCCAGTGGCGGCGCTGGAGGTCAGGCTCACGTCCGAGAAGGGCTGGTTGCGGCAGTCCCCCCTGGCGCTGCTCAGCGAGATGGTGGTGGCGCTGGGGCCCAACCTCATCAGCACCTACGGCACTGTGAACGGCGCTTGCGAGAGGAGCAGGCGTTGGCAGTGGCAGCCAGCAGGGGCGCTGCTGAGCGAAATCGTGGTTGTGACGCTGGAGCCCAACATCATCACCTACGGCACTGCGAACAGCGCCTGCGAGAAAAGGTGGCCTTGGCAGCGGCAGCAGGCTGCGACGCTGCCGAGCGAGATGCTCGTGTAGAAGCTGGAGCCCGCCATGATCAGCCACGCGTGCGAGAAGGGCCGGCAGTGGCATCTGGCCATGGCAATGCTCAGCGCGACGTTGGTGGCGACGTTGGAGGTCAGGCTCACGTCCGAGAAGGGCCGGCCGTGGCAGCTTTCCTTGGCGCTGCTCAGCGAGAGGGCGGTGACGCTGGAGCCCAACCTCACGCGCGAGAAGGGCGGGCAGCGGCAGCCGGCCCTGGCGACGCGACAGATCTAGCGGCCCCATCCGACGACGATGACCTGTCGCTCCGCGCGCGCGCGAAGGGGCCGTCGCTGTCGCCCCCGCCGCGTGGCCCGGGGGCCCCCGTCTCGCCCCCCTGAAACGAGGGCGCGGTGCCGCGCGAGGAACAGAAAATTGTCTTTAGTCTGCGCTGACCGTGGAAAAAAAAAAAAAAAACACCTGTTCCCCCTTCCCCCTCCCTCTTCACCTGGCTCGGGACCGCGTGCCCCCCTGCTCGCGCGACGACCGCCTTCCTACGCTCCCACAACTCGCGGCAAGGTCAAGGTCTTACCCACCGCTGGCCACGCCCGCCACCTGTGCCCCCTTCCCCCTCCCTCTTCACCTGTCGCGGGACCGCGCGTCCTCCTTTTCCCTCGAACTGCACCCCCACAGCACTTGAGGCGAGCATGGCCCGCGCGCAGTGACCGCTTGCTGGTCCACCTGGTCTCCGGCTGTACCTGCCCCCCCCTTCCCCCCTCACCTGTCTTTAACACGTTCTGGGACCGTGTGTCCTACCTGTACCCATCGGGGCCCAGTCCCCCCACGTGAGCACCTGCGGCGCGGGCTGGCACGACGACGGCCGGCGTGGCGCGCCGGCCTTTCTCCTCCCTGTTCGCTTCTTCCTCCCCCGTTCGCTTCCCTCCCTCCCATGGCGGCAGCGCCCGGCACTGCGCGGCTTCGGCCCGGTGCCGGGTGCTGCACCCTGCCGCCTCGGCGGCCCCGCTCGCCATGGCGCTGTGCGGCTCAGGCCCGGCCCTCGGCAATGTGGATGTCAGCGTATCGTGTGTGGCTGCTGCCCGTCTTCACGCGGGGACGGTGCAGGGCAGGTTTTCTCCCTGCTCTCCACCGACATCCTGTCGGTCATGTACGGCCCACTCGTCTGTGGCCGCACCTCAAGCAGGCTATTACCTGGTCGTGGATTGGACTACCACCCCGGGCCTCATCCGCATCATCCGGTGGCACAACGTTGCACATCGCCTTCGTGGTGCTCCTCTTTTTTTCTGGGCCTTGTCCGCATCATCCGGTGGCACAACGTTGCTCATCGTCTTCGTGATGCTCTTCTCTCTCCTGGGCGTCGACCTGGTCATGTGCCGCGTCCTCCTCTGCAGTGCTTGAGGCTGGTGTTCGCGACGCGACGTTGACGACAACGCCATCTCCTTTGCCTTTTGGGTCTTCGCCCCCGGTCCTCGTCCGCGGCGTACCTTTTCCTGTGCAAACTCTTCGGCGCCGCCTGCGCCCCGGGTTCCGCCCGCTCCGGCCGCCGGAGGCCCCGTCTTCTTGTGCCGTGCCTCCTTAATTGAAGCTCTGCGTAGCCCGCCTAGTTTTTGGCGGAAGAGGTTCGCTCTTGCCCCGCAAACCAACAAAAACATGTGGCAGCGAAGTGTCCTTGGTGATTGCGATACCGGGTGTAAGAGGGCCTCCCTCACAGACGCCGCTTCCAGTCCAGTCCAGTTTGTGTGTGTGTGTGTCGATGTGCTTGTGTGCGCGTGCTTATGCCTGTCTGTGTGTCAGTGTCTGTGTGTGTGGGTTTGCGTGTTTGTGTGCTTGTTTATTTGTGTGTGTGCGCGCGTGTGTGTGTGTGATTGTGTGTGTGCGTGTCTGTGTGTGGTTTGTTGTGTGTGTGCGTGTGTGCGTGTCTGTGTGTGTGTGTGTTTGAAAGGGCCACGGCTTGTGTTTCGCAAGCATGTCTCCGCGGGGCCCGCGGAACCAGGTCAGTTTAACCGCGGACGGCGCGGCCCGTTGGGCCGACTGTTCGTGCTCGGCCCGCGCGGGCTGGGTTGTGGTTCGGGTTGATCGATCCGGCCACTTGGCAGCAACGGCTTACGGGCCTGCCCCACCAGCCGCAGCACCGCGCCAACCAGCTGGAGATGGTTGCGCGAAATATGCGAGCGCAGCTGGCCATGCTCCTTTCGACATCTATACGGGCTACCCTGGCGCAGTCGACTCCGCGTGGAGAGGCGGGGGCGGTGTGACGGGCAACAATGGGCCCGTTTGGGGCCATTTTCTGGCGCTCGGGCGTCAAGACCAAGGCTCACCACCCGAGAGCCGACATAGATGCAGGCAGTACCACACGTTTTGAAGAGTCGACCTGCAAACGAGGTCGCAAAGAAAGGTGCTGACCTCCACGAGGCCGACGCACATGTTTATGAATTCTGGCGGGGGCTCCAGGAGTATGCGGCGTGAGGCTGCGGCGTGGGCCGCGGAGGCACGCATCCTCAGCGAGGGCCAGGACAACCAGGACCTCATAGAGGGGGCTACCTGGCGTGCCGCCGTGCAGCCTGGGCATCTGGGGCCCCTGGAAGCGCGGCTGGTCCCGGCTGGGAGCCTCCTGAGGAGCCTGATTATGAAGGGGGGGCCCCAAACGGGGTCGTGACCACACCGTGCGGTGAGTCGGTGGAGATTCGGGGTCACCGCACGGTTTTGGGACTCAGGTCGTTCTCCGAGGATGTCTCGGGCCACGGGCCTCCGGGGTCCCAAGACCGTGCGGTGACGGACCGTGCGGTGAGGTCTTGGGGGATTTCGAGGTCACCGCACGGTCTGTCACTGCACCGTTTCGGGACTCCAAATATGAAGGGGGGTCACAGCTTGGGGAGTTCGACCCTGCCTTTTGGTGACGGCGGCGCATCGTTTTATAGGCAGGGGCCGTTAATGTGCATTCCCGACTTCGGTTTGTCCTCTTCTGGGCCTGTTGCGGCTCGGCCAGCTCGCACACAACTGCTGTGTGCGTCTTGGGAGAGAGCAGCTTAGGCGACAAAGCTGGGCCAGTCCCCCCTGTACTGAAAAGGAGTCTGTACTGAAGCCGCGTCTGTGTCCCCCCCACGGCGTGCTCCCAGCGGCCCGTTTGGCCTTGCAGGAGGCGGCCGCCGCCCAGCCCGTCCCGCCGTTCGGCACTGCGACGTCTCAGTCGACGTGGGGTCGGGGGGACTGGGAAGGAGATCGTGTTCCGAGCGTTTGGCCTGACGGCCGACTTTCGCCCACGAGTGCAGGAGCTCGGGCGTAAGGCGATCCAGTTTATCCGTGCTGGCGACGAGGACCCCGACTTAGAAGGAGAGTCCGACGCCAAGAATTTAGCGTAAGCCCAGTGGGCTGCCTCGAGGGCCAAGCCAAGCGAAGCCTTGCCTGTCCCTCCCCCCTCCCTCAGTTTCCTCCTTCCCTCTTCCACACTCCTCTCCATCATCATTCCCCATCTCCACCATCCCTTCGCCTCTTGTTTTTCCCTTCGACAGTCGGCTCCGTTCCTGCCCAAGGGTGCGCTCCGACCACAATTCTAGGGGGAATCCAGCCGTGGCGGCGAGGGCGCGAAACCCTCCAAGCTCGAGCCTCGATCCCCATTTGTTTTCTTGTGCGCCCTGCGGAACCCCGGTTTTCCGCCTCTCCCCGGGGAGGAGCACTTGGACGAGTGGGAGGTGAAGCCGAGGCCGCGGACTGGGGCGTTCATCGGCCCTCACGCGCGCAAGCGCACGTACAATCCCAACTCGTGGTCGCCTTACAGAAACAGGCTGGGCAAGTCGGGTCCGGCTCGTGGCAGGCGGACCAGGGAACAGAATCCAGAGGATCGGGGGGAGAGCATAGCCATGGAGGACGAGGGTAGGAACACGAGACCGATACCGCTGCCCTCCCCTTCTCGCCGCGGCAGGATTCGCTTCGAAGTCCTGGTCGGAGCGCGCGGCCAGAGAGGTGCGGGAGGCAGCGGCATTCGCATGTGGTGCCCCCCGGGGGGCGCGCAGCAGGGCGCAGGAGGAGCACGCGACAAGACGAGCAGTCCGCAGGGCGGAGGGGCTGGAGGGCGGGCGGGGGCACGGAGGCCCGGGAGCAAGCGGGAGCAGAAGGAGGAAGATCGAGGTTCGAGGGTTTCGCGCTTTGCTGGGCATCCTCGAGCGCCCTCGTCGCCATTGCTGGAGTCCCTGTGGGACTGGCCAGAGCGCACCCACGGATAGGTCCAGGGGCAGACTTTTGAGGGGCGAGGGCAGGGAGTAGGTTGAGGACATGCACGAGGACGAGGAGGTGGTGGTGGTGGAGAAGGCAAAGGTGGAGGTGTTGGGCGAGTTATGTGGAACAGCAAGAGCAGCAACAGCACATGGGGGAGTGTGATGAGCAGAGGAGCAACAGCACGATGGGCTACACGTAGGGGTTACCACTCGCTGGAGTAGCCTTTGGTGCGGTCTCTCAGGGGATCTCCCAGAATTGGCCGCACAGCAAAGGTCAGTTTTGCCCAGGAACGCTCTTGTTTTTTGACAACAGGAGGAGGATGCTGGGGATGAGGAACAGGAGCAGCAAGCCCGCGTCAGGTGGGACGAGCAAGAGCTTCGCGCCGACACGGTGCTGGATGCGGAGGAGTTCGAGGAATACTCGGACGACGAGGACCACCAGGGTTTCCAAATTCACACACACACACACACACCTTTAATTTCCTCCCCGTCGTCCACCACCTACTGCTTCACATCGTTGCAGTCGTCAATGTCCTCCTGAGCGCTCATACCAGTCACTGAGGACATGTACGAGGACGTGTACGAGGACACGGAGTGACCTTGACAGGTTGGGCGCGTGCGAGCGGCGTTGTGTTGCTCGTCAGGCTCGCTCAACATGAAAAGGGAGTAGAGGGACATGGCTTAGCTTCAGGCCGCTTCTCCTTGTCCTCCCCGTCCTGGTATCCTGCTCATCCTTTTGGCAAACAGGTGCGTTCGATAGTCCGATTGGCGCGAGGAGGGGCGGCTTGTGGTGCCAAGCAGGTCTTGTGGATTTCAATTTTCTTTCTTTTCACCTCCTGCCTCCATCGCTGTTCTTCGTCGTCTTCGCTCATCTGTATCATCCTTCTCCTCATGTTCCTTCGTTTCCCGCTCCTCCTCCTCCTCCTCCTCCTCCTCCTCCTCTTCATTTGTGTGCGCCTTCCCCGTCCTCTTTCAGACTTCGTCTGTGATCCTGTTCCTATTCCTCCTCCTCTTCCCACGTCTCCTGCTTCCCCGCTTCCGTCGCTTCGTCTAGAGGAGTGCCAGGACATTCCGCCTTGAAAACACAAAAGCAAACGTTAGTCACAGACACTGTTGGAACGTCTTCAGCGAACCAGCAAAAACAAACACACATCCCAGCGACAACCCCAGCGTCAAATGGACGACCCCGTTGTGAGGCGGAACGCATACGGATTGCAGATGGTTGGAAACGCCCTCGCAAAACAAAATCAATTAATCCGCAGCGCGGGTATCACAGAGAACACAAACTCCAGCGACAACTCGACCGTCCGAAGGGCGACCCCGCATTCTCTAACGGTGATTTTGTTGTCCCGGGGGTCCTGAGGGTATTCCAGCAGGTTCTGCCGCAAACGCTGTGGATTATTTGTGTTTTTCGTTGCTCGTTGAGCCATCCACCGTGGGGTCCTCCCCCCTCGCGGCCTGGCCGAGCGCCGCGGCCGCCGCCTCGGCATGGCCGCTGGCGCGGAGACCCCCGCGGCGCGGCGGCAGCGGCGGCGGCGGCAGCGGCGCGCTGCTGCCCGGCCGCCGCGCGCGGCTCGCCGCACTGTGGGCGGCCGCGGGCGCCGCCGGGTGTGCGGGCGCCGTTGGCGCTGCGGGCGGCGGTGGCGCCGCGGGCGATGCGGGCGCCGCCGGCGCCGTCGGTTCGGCTCCACGGAGGCCGCCGGCGCTGTCGGCTCGCTTCGCTCTCACGAGGGCGCCGCGGGACGTGCTTTAGAGCGCGATGAGCGCCATCATCCCGACAGCGAGGGGGCGAACGAAGGATCGTTCACGCCCGCGCCAAAGAACCGTTCGTGGATGCTGAAAGTGGCGGGCGGGGTGGCAGCAGCGAGGGTGCCCATGCATAACGCGAACGTGCGAGAGCGTTTACAGACAAGCTTGCAGGCGGGAAAAGGTCGGGCTTTGACTTCGCCGACGGAAGGTAAGCACGAGACAGCCTCCGCAGCAGCGGAGGCAGAAACGGGGTCCCATGGCGGAGTTCTCAGAAGCCGTCGGAGGCGTTTCCAGGCAGAAGAATGGGGCGAATAATACCTATACGACCACCCTGCGGGTGATAAGGAGGTGAAGGGGGGAGTGGGAACCAAAGTCTCACTCAATCGATCTCGCTATCGATCTCACAATCGATCTCACATTCGATCTCACTATCGATATCACTATCGATCTCGCTATCGATCGCACTACCGATCTCACAGTCGATCTCATAATCGATCCCACATTCGGTCTCACATTCTGTCTCGCTGTCGATCTCACTATCGATCTCACAATCGATCTCACAGTCGATCTCACATTCGGTCTCACATTCGGTCTCACTATCGATCTCACTATCGATCTCACAATCGATCTCACAATCGATCTCACATTCGGTTTCACATTCGGTCTCACTATCGATCTCACAATCGATCTCATTATCGATTTTCTCTCGGCAATTCTCACTCGGCACCATCATCATCATAATCATCATTACCATCATCATCTCACAGTCGATCTGACTATCGATCTCACAATCGATCTCACTATCGATCTCACAATCGATCTCACATTCTGTATCAGTATCGACGTCACCATCGATCTCACAATCGACGTCATTATCATCAACAACAACACCAACATCATCATCATCATCATCATCATCATCATCATCTTCGCTATCATCACCATCATCATCACCACCATCATCATAATCATCCACATCATCATCGGGGCGCCGACGGGACACCGACGGGGCACCAGCGGGACACCAGCGGGGCACCGCGCGCCACCGGCCGCCCGGAAGAGACACATTTGGTCCGGCCGCGCCTCAGCCATAGGGGCACCGACGGGACACCAGCGGGGCGCCGGCGGGACACCGCGCGCCGCCGGCCGCTGGGAAGAGACACATTTGGTCCGGCCGCGCCTCAGCCACAGGGACACCGACGGGGCACCAGCGGGGCACCGGCGGGACACCGCGCGCCACCGGCCGCCCGGAAGAGACACATTTGGTCCGGCCGCGCCTCAGCCACAGGAGACTTTCTTTCCGCCCGCCCACGCAGCTTCGCCTCGCCCGCGCGCGCGGCGCGCACGAACACGAAACCGACATCGATTTCCCGGTAGGGGGGCTTTCCCTTCCACTTCGATCTTGCCCTCTCACCTCCGACATGTGATGATGGAATATTACGCAAAAAATTAAAGCGCGAACTGCGAAGCACCGTCGCGGGCGCGAAGGCGCCGATGTTTCCCTCGCTAGAGACAGAGTTGCTCCTTTGCGAGAACAGGGATTGGCCAGCTTTTCGCTTGGGCCCTGGACTTCCCGCGGCTTCTGAAGCATGTTTCATCGGCGGGCGCCGGGGGGGGGGGGGGCGCGGCCCCGAGCCCGAGAGCGGGGAGGCAGGCGAGGTCGCGGGCACGGGCCGCCCCCGGACCGCAAGGTGGTGCCCCCGGGGGGCGCGGGCAGTGGAGGCGACAGACGGGCCGCTTAAAGGGCGAGAGTGGGCATCGAGAGCACAAGACATCACCGAGGGGAAATGGGAGACAGGCGCGGCGTTGCTGCAGCTCCCCGAGCCGCTCAGGGGCCCCTCCCGTCAGAAGAAGGACGCGCTCTTCGCGTTTCTGGGGGGCTTGGCGCAGAGAGCCATAGCGCAGGAAGTGCCGCAGTGAGTCCTCGACGGCCCACTCGCCGGCGCGCGCCGCAGCGGGCGCGCCGATCTTTTCAACGGCCCGTTCCGCTTCGGTCGCGGCAGAAGCGGGCGCCCTGTCGAACAGGGGGGGGGGGGGGGGGGGGGGGCGGCCCGCGAGGGGAATCGCGGCCGATGGAACGCGCAACGTGCGCGCCGAAGAAAAGGCGGGGCGAAACGCAAGCAGACAGCGGCGCCGGGAGAGGGCCAGGGGGGGGAGGGCGAGGAGAGGAAGATTTCAGAGAGGAAGTTCAGGATTGCAGTAATCATCTCGGCTCAAATCAGCGCGGTGGCCCCGCTGTCCGTCGGCGTCGCGGGCGCGGCAGCGGCCCCGCCAGCTGGCCCCGGCGACGACCGGCCAGCCGATGCGCACCCGCGCGTCGGCCATAACCGTTAATCAGACGAGTTCGTGGACAGACGCGCGAAGAGAAAGACCCAGGAGGGGCGCTGCTGAATGTAACGCAGGGGAAAGACACATTGTTCGGGCATGGTTATGTCATGCGCCGGAGCAGCGGCGGTTCTTGCCATCTTCCTTCTGGCGCGCGCATTTGCAAGACGATCCACTGCTGGCGTCAGAAATGGCCGCGCCCCAGCGACCGCCGCCTGAAGGACGGAACGGTGGACTACGCCAGGCGGGCAGATGACCAAGCGTTTTGGCATGTAGTCACGCGCGAAGATAGGTGGCCAGCGGGAGATGTTGGCCCCGCCGCAGCGGCGGCGCCTGCGCTCGCGGCCGCCCCAGGCGGAGACCCTGCGTTTGCAACAGATGAAGCCCCCGCGGGAGGAGACGAAGCCGTCGCGGCAGCAGGCGAACCCCCCGCGGCAGCGAAGGGCGGGGCCGGAGGCGCACCCTGCCGCAGCGCCAGGCGTCGACGCCCCCGCCGAGGCGGCTTCCGTAGTAGAGGCTGCCATGGCGGAGCCCACGGCGAGCGCGGCGCTCGCAGCAGAGAGCGCTGGCCCTGCGGATTTCCAAAACCCGCCCCCCTTTCAATCCGCGATGTCGCGGGGGCGGCGCTTCCGGCCGCAGGCGCAGGCGCCGCCGTTGCCGCGCCGGCGGTGGCTAGCGCTGACGTCGCCTTGCCCGCGCCGCAGCAGCGGCGCGAAGAGGGCCATCGGTGCTTCGAGATTAATGACGCCGGCTCGAAGTACACGTGGAACGCCTGCGCAGCCCCGCGGGTGGGTTGGCTACTTGGCCTTCGTAGTTTTTTCTCTTCTCCAGAAGGCGCGCGCGCGCGCTCGGGAAGGCCGCGATAGAGTCGACATTTGCAAGCGCGTGTTGCCGCCGTGGAAGCTCGACGAGCTGACTCGCCAGCATGATGTGGGCGCTAACGCGTGCGCCTCTGTTCCGCAAGATGGAGGGCATCCAGTCTGGGTGCCAATCAGCGAGGGGCACCGTCTGTGGATGCGCAAACATTACGTCGCAGGATTGGTTGCTGACGTGGTCGACATGACGGGGGGCCCGTCCACGGCGGATGGGTCCTACACTGCTCGCGGGGCGCGCGTAGTTTCGACCTGCGCAGACGGGGGCTGCGGTTTGGATTGCGCGTCGCGCGTGGCGGGTGAGATTTCAATGCCAGGCGCATGGCGGGCGAGATTTCAATGCCGGGGTCTCGCAGAAAGCCTCGACAAGAACGCCCCGCCTCCCATATCTTCCTAGTGTGCCTCCTCTACGCTTTCCTTTCCACGCTGTGTTTTCTAAATGTGACATTCGCTTCCTCCCGTTTGCCCCCCTCTCCCTGCCGCCACCCCCCCCGCCG